TATTATGACGCAATGTCATGGCAAAGAAAACACCTGTTCAATGTCTCAAAAATACAACAAATGTATCTAATTTAAAAACTGCTATTTTCATTTTAAGATACTGTTATCAATTTCTGCAACTTTACTAAATTCTCATTTAAGACCAAATTTAAGTGCTCTTGGGTAATGGATTAATAATGATTCAAGATTTCTTTAAGCTCAATGAGACCTCTGACCATAAGATTTTAAACTTTTAAATGCTGGACTAGTAGTATATCATTTCAGACATCCACTCCCTCTACCCACACCCCTCCAAACACAAACTTTGAAAAGGCACAGGCATAATAAATCTGTTTTTAGTTGAATAATGGTTAATTCATAAAGAAGAGAAAAGATTGTTGGTTATTTTTTTTTTATGAAAAATTAGGTTTTAATGAATAATGCTGATACTTGATACTGGTTTAGAAATATGCTAATCACCAAAAAGCTTCTGAGCTGAGCTCACCTCCTATGTAATGAATGCTGATACTAGGGCAAAGGTCAACCCAGGCCATTAGAGAAAAATAAAAGGTCATATTGGTATATTAAAAAAAAAAAGAAAGATACTACTAAAAAGATAACTTCTGTTACCTTTTTTCAGGATCATTTTCAATTAGGTATAATCATTGGGATCAAATATTTGTGGAATCAAGTTTCCCATAAAATTGTATTTACTCATGGAATAGTATTTTTGTATAGCGTTTTATGGTTTTCAAAGCATTTCTATAAGTACTTTATTTGATTTTTGAAACCAGTGTATGAGGAAGGCAAACAGTAAATGACTTACCCAAAGCCACAAAACTAATAAGCTATAGCAATAGAACACAGTGCTCAGTCCACTCCATTTACTCATTCGTGCATTTATTCATTTATTCAATAACTGGGACAATGTACTCAGAGATGAGCGAGACAGAGTCTCTGTCTTAAAGGAGCCCACAGTTTAGTGAGCAGGCAGAAAGAAAAGCCACACACCAACTTATAACACAAGCATAAAAAGTATAGTAGGAAGGATACCTGCAAGTCTTCCAGACGAGGTCAATTCTTAAATCTAGATTTCTATGGAGAAAGAAATAGCTAGGCCCAGAAGGGAGTAAAGGGGTAGGGAGAAAGACAAGCAGAGGTCATCTAATTCTGTTCAAATAGAAAAGTGAATGTGAGTCCTGGCAGAAACTTAAAGAGTATGAAGTCAGCAGCAGTCAATCCTGCCCTTGAATGCCTTACTCTTTGGACCAAGCTAAGGACAGCCAAGGTGCTCAAATTCAGATATATGCTAATCTCCAAAAAGCTTTCTGGGCTGATCTCACCTCATATTTAATAAAGCATACTGGTAGCAATTTTAATTTCTTTTAATACTGTGATGTCTTAAAGAAAAAGTGACTCAAGCCCTGGGTTTGAATGAGTAGATTGTTTTTTGTAGCCTATATGTATACACATATTTCATATATCTACATGGATAGTTTATATCCATAATATATATAAGTATCCACATAGATTATACAAAACATACATAGAGCTCTATAAACCTCACAGGCAAAGACATCTGAATAATGTGTCTATCTAGATGACCCCTGGGACATGTTCAGATGGAGATGGGTTATAGAGAGAGGTTACCACACAGGACAACCATCTGTCCTAGACGATTTATTCATTTGTTACAGAGGAGGAATTGAAGGGGGTTGAACAAGATAAATTCCAAAGGTACCTTAAAGCTCCATGGTTTTGTGTATTAGGAGCTTACCTGCATGAGGCAGTTTCTCTGTTCTTGAGAAATAAAATTTCATGACCCTGGTGAAATTATTCCTGTCTGCCATTTTTTGTGCTCAGACAGAAAATGTATTATTGATTTCTGATTCACCACAGACAATGTGACTTAGAGAAAACAGCATTAAATTAGGAGTCAGAAAACCTAGATTCTCTCCCCAAACCACCCAAGAGAGGGTACGGGAGTGATGTGTGACCTTGGACAACAGACTTCATATCTTTGGGCTTCACCTTCCCATGTATTAAAAGAAAGGAGTGGCTAAATTCTCTTCTATAATTCTCTTCCAGCTCTAAATCTATGAAATCATCCCCTCCCCCCAAGATTTAGTTTATCTCTGGAACTCTAAAATCAGGAATAATAAAATTGGATTCAGATCATCTCTTTTCTAATCAAAGATCCTGTCTTATCTTACTTTTTAAAACCATCCCAATCTTGCATAATTTAAATGATCACTGTTGTCACTGGTTGCTCTGGTTTAAATTATGCATTGTTGCTATTTGGGGAAAATTTAGACCAGGTCCAGTCTGGGATCACTGGCCAAGAATAATAAGCCCCCAAAGTGAGAAGGATAAAGGCCTCTCCAGACAAGATCTGCTTTTAATGCACTGAGCATGGCATTTACTAAAAGAACATTGATTGTGTACATTAAAGAGCCACAAAACAGCAAGGGACTGGTAAGGCTGCAACAAATTCTCCTAGAAGCCACTGACCTTGGCTGCGATTCAGGGGTCAGGCATTCCCAGAAGGTTCTCAGCAGGCAGGCTGAGGGTTTAGGAACAAATGAGACCTCTCATCTAGATGAGCCCCTTCTGACTGGGGGAGACAGAGAGAGATGATCTGCCCTCTAGTTTGTAGAGATTACCTACATGGTCTTTGGACCCACGTCCGGCCTACACACTTCCACCACGAGACTGATCGCAGACCCCAGCTTTCCAACTGCCTCCACATCTGTATTCAAGTCCTCCAGTCAGCAGTTACCCAGTCTCCTGGGCTAGCTGTAGTCCTCCCTCTTTCCACACCTCCCGCAGGCAGAAATACAGAAACAGAGCACTAAGTCCAAGTCACAAAGAGCAATTTCAGTGAATCCTGCAAAGATATCTTTTCAAAATACAGATCTTAGAAGCACAAGTCTCCCATGTGTGAATCGCACTCCGGGCCAGCTGGTGAGCTCTCATGGTTGCTCACAGCCTACAGGCTCTGTGCTCAGTATCTCAGAAAACCTTCCCCAGGAAAAACCACAAGGGACACCTCTGACCAAGCCCAACTTAAAATCACATCAGAGCACTTTCCATTAGAGGAGTGATGCCAAGATTGCAGCTAAGGGAAATCACACGCCTTGCCCATTGTTCAGACGCCTACCCCAGCCTTTGCTGCTTTCCCCTACCCTTAGGTCTGGACCATTCATTCACCTGATTAACCGCTGGCAGCAACCCCCAGTGCAGAAAGTAGGGCAAATGAACACATACACACACACGGTCTGTAAAGCAAGAAGCCACAGACTTGGCTGAAGCACCCACCCTGTTACTAACTAACCCCTACCCTCAGCTGCCCAGGGGGCAGCGGGTTCTGATGTGGTATTTCCAGCCAGGGATATAGACAGCTTACTGTAATAATGCATGAATGAGTCTTTGCTGCCCAACTATCAAAAAAGCCAGTTACAAATGGCATCTCTGTTCCTTCTCAACCCCTTGACTGCCTTGCAGAAATCTCACCTTTTGGATGCAACAATTAAGAAGCAGGGGAGGAGGAGTTAAAAAGAGGGGGTTAGATAGAGAGGATTAATGAGACTTGAAAAAATAGTAACACTTTGACCATAAGGGTAGCTCTTTAAAATAACGGTGGAGAAGAAGACAATGTCAAGAAAAGTACTAAAAATTCAGGTATATAACCTCAACAGTTAGCATCCATCTAATAACGTATTCCTCAGGAGAGCATGTGAACTTCCAAGCTTCACCCACCCTGTGTGTCTCTGTGTTGAGAGCCACCATGGATTCCGTCTCACAACCCCTCCATGCCTCATGTATATGCAGGTTTTGGGGTTTTTTTTTTTTTTTTTTTGGTTCTGGAGAGGAAGAAGCCAGCTTTAAATTGGCGTCCAATCCTCAGACCCCTGCTGCTGTCGCCACCTCCACCCCTCACCCCCTTCCCGGCAGGCAGCATCTAATTAAAATGGCAAGAAAGCTCTGCCTCCTTCTCCGAAGGAGTGTGTTGGGATTGGGGCTTGGGGGTGGGGAGTCGTCGAGGCTGCACTGGGATTCCTGATCACAAAACAACAGCAAAATGGATTCTATATCAGTGATGTCTTAGTCAATACAATGAAACGGCGTCTGAGGCAATTCACGTGAAGGTAAACGCAAACCAGTGGGTCTGGGTGTTGGGAGGTGCTCTACAAAGGACCGTCCACGGACACAGGGAAAACCCCCCCCCGCCCCCCCCCCCACACACACTCCCGGGAGTTCCGGTCTGATTAGGGAACAGCAGAGAACATATCCCATCCCTTTCACCTGCTTAAGTTCAGCCATAAAACCGAAATGTCACAGAAAGCACAGGCAGAGCTGAGTTAAAACCACAAATAAAGGCAAGTGGCAGACTGGTCTTTTGGAGAGCGCTGAGAGGTAGTCGGGTCGCAGAAAGGCAGAAAAGGGGGAAGGGTAGACCCTTGCCATCTATAAGGCCAGCATAGCAATTGTTGCCCCTGTGAAGAAGCAGGTTCGGCTCCGTGGAGACCGCCAGGCTCACAATGTATGTCATCTTGCAGGTGGCTGGAAAACGTGTGGGGCCAGGTACCTTTATTCATACTGTTATTCTTTTTACAGAAAGAGAGTCTCAGGTCTCGCATCCTGGCACGAGATGACTGCCCAGGGCTTGTGTGTGTACACGTACACACACACACACACACACACACACACACACACACACACACACACACACACAAGCTTTTCATTTTAATGCGCTTACACAGGTCTAAGATGAAACTGGCATAAGCTCCACGCGCTCTCGGGGGATTCTCGGCCACAACCAAAGGAGAACACGTACCTCACAGCCTCTGCCCGGGGGGCTCAGCCGAGAGCGCCTCAGCAGCCCCCAAAACCAAACAGGAACCCAGATTCCCTACGTGTCGCATTCTCCCGCCTCTGCCCACCAGCCCCAGTCCACGCACCAAGCCCATTCACCCTGACCCAAACCATGGGAAAGAAATCAGAAAACATGTTCTACTCACCCTCAGAGCCGAGAGATCGATTTCATCCAGGCTGCGAGCAGGGGAGTCGCTCGCCATGTCTACTTCTTTGCCGGAGAAATGGACCAAAACCACTCCGAAGCTTCTCCCTTGCAAATTCCACCTTGGTCTATTTCACTCGCGTCCTCATGCGGGTGTCGCGCCAGAGGCTCCCGGGCCCAGCCTCCCCCGCCCACCCTGGCTCCACGGAGCCGGATCCCGATCCTCCTCGCCTGGGTCCGCCGGGTCCCGGAGCCCAACCTGCGCGGATCCCCAAGCCGGGAGTCGCGGTGCGTGTGGGCTGCGCGCCCTGATCAGCTAAGGGCGCTGGGGCTGCGTGGGTGTATTTAAATGGGACATGCTGCTTTGCTTGTGCGTGGATGGCGGCTGCATTGGCTGTTATGAGACACATCAACTCCTCCACTCAGCTGGGGGGTGGGGGTGGAGAACCAAACAGAACTGTCTATCACCGCTTCCTGGGAGGAGTAAAGGGGGGTGGGGGGAAAGGCAAAGGAGGCGTGGTCTCCGACTGGGGAGAGGCCGAGCTTCCTGACCGGTTCCCTCTGCACCAGCGTGGATGGGGGAGGGGCGGGCACCCTTTCTGCCCATGCTTTTGCGGGCTATTCAGGCTAGCTCTGAAGAGCAGTTTCTGAACCCTGCTGTGCTTATCGTGCGGGCAAAGGGGCTATTTGTGTATCCAATTCGTGCACTGCAACAATATGGCCTTTCAATCGCATCTCAGAGTTTCTCGGTAGGATTCAAATGCTCTGGCGTGAAAAAATATCCGGGGAAAAAAAGCGACGCCTTCCCTCCCGCATTAATTATTTGTGGGGCTGGAGTAACGTGGACTGGAGCAACCGGTGCATATAAGGACTTGTGTGCAAGGAACGGATCCGCCTCCAGCCACGGAACGAATGGGGGAGAAGCGCACTCGCACAGTGCGCCCAGCGCAGCGCCTCGGCAATGTGTCCCCGCCGCTGGGTCGTGTCTGGGATCCGGGTCGGCTGGTCACTTGCCGCTTCGGAGCTAGGTAGGTTTGCCAGAAGCGGGAAAGCTGGGAATCTGAGCTCCTTCTTGGCATCGCCACACCCAGGACCTGCCCGTGCCGCAATTCTCCACGGAAACGACCGAATTGAAACCAGAAGCTTGTTCTCTGAGTGCAATAACTTGAATGCTTTGGGTAACGCCAAAGGCAACACTGGGTAAGGCAGTACACACCGCCTCAGGACCCTACATTTCCCTTTCTGGCAGCGTTTCCGCGGCTGATGAAGAAAGTTTGGCTGGCGGATAGGATGTAACATAGGAGGTGGACGACCAGAGAGTGATTCCACTCTGCACGCTTTCTCATTTAAAGACTGAATGTTTACAGTGGTAAATGTAACATTCTCTAATCGAGTGTGAAGTCACTTCCAAGCCCAGTCTCCGCATAGCTCTTCCTCTCCAGCCTTGTCCACGCGAAATACATAGAAAGAAACGCTAAAATTGAACTTTTCGCCAAATATAGCAGTAGCTTTGAAAGCATTAGCTGTACCTCTGTTAAGATGAGAATTTACATCTGGCCAAATGTACTGAAGGTTTTTTAATCGCGTAGAGTGAGTATTAGTTTCAGAATAAGGCTTTTGAATGAATGAATGAAAGCCAATGCAGTTCATTACGATTGCAGACGTTAGAAGACTTAAAAAAAAAAAAAAAAAAAAAAAAAAAAAAAAAAAAAAAAAAAAAAAAAAAAACAGCATACGGTGTGCGATGTGCTGTTTTTGTTAATATTATTGTATTTTTATATGCACTGTGGATCATGGAACTTGAAAATTGTTCCAGCCTCTCAATGGCCACAGGAGTTGTTTAGGAGCCTTTGCCATTAAAATGTCAAACGTTTAAACGTGTTATATTTAAAAACGCTTGATTCGATCTCTTTATTTTTTAATAAAATCATCCAGCTCGAGGTAGTAAGTAACGTTCAGTAAGCCACCAAGTAATGTCTAAATGACATTTAAAAAACTATCATTTCCTATCATCATCCTTATTTTCGTTTCTATATGCCTTTTTTACCCTTCATCTAGATGACAAGTTAATGTATTGTCTCAATGTTGAAAAAAATAATTTAAGATCAGGTATTGAGATCTATAAACAGAACTATTTCTAAAACTCTAAACATATTTAAAATGGGATAAACATTTTTTTTTCATAGAGAACCTTCATTTTATACCCCAGATTTTATTTGAAACATAATAAATGGATCATTTCTTTCAGCGTAAGTATGCTGTTTCAGGTCATGAGGATGTCTGGATACTAGTGCTAAATTCTACCCTTGGATTTAGAATTAGATAAGAAAACTATATATTCAGTACAGTGATGGGCACTAAATGAGGGAGGGCTTCCTAGAAGCCAGGAGGATGATGAGAGTCAGGTGGAAGCAGGGGTGCTGGCTGCAGGAAAGACCATAAAAGGAGAAGTTACAACAGCCAAGACACTTCCAGCTGGTAAGATAAGGAGGAAACTCCAAGCAATTTGTGCTAGTGGTAAATAGTGGTAATTGGACTGGGGAGGAAAGCAGAGGTCACATCAGATAGAGCTTTGCATGCCCCCTTAAGACACTTGAATTTTATCCTTCAAGTCAAATGTGTATCATATTTCAGCTATTTCAGTACAAACTCCTAATTTTTTGCCATGTCTGTGTACCTCCTGTACTGTCATTATTTATTTAATATTTTTTCTTTAAATCAGCCCTCTTTTTTCTTAAATTTAATTGGAAAGAAAACATAAATCACTAATGTAAATGGAAAGCTAGAAACATTTGCTAAAAAAATATAAAGAAACCATTAAAATAAATATAATGGAAAATAAAACAATATTGTTAAATTTTTGATAGCTATCATGGCCTGCCTCAGGCTTCAGTCCTGAAGCCTACTCTTAGTTTGTTAAAAGAGAAATTAATAAATGCCAGAAGGCATTCAATACTTAATTAAAAAAGTCACATTTTCTTCTGGGTGTAATCTGAAGGAATGAAGAAATTAATATCACCTATGTACAGTTCGAAAGCCTGAAGAACAATACAATATTCTGTTTATATCTGTCTAAATATGCAGTTAACTATAAAAAGCATGGACACAGGCAGGAAGGATACAGATCAATTTCAGGATAGTGAGAAAGGAAGAAGAAAAATAGAACGAGAAAGCACAAAGGAGTTTCCAACAATGATGTCTAATTTTGTTTCAAAAGATCTCAAGCAAATATTGATAAATGTTTGGAACTGCTAAATCTGGATTGTTACACTAATGCCTATAAATTATATAGTTTTCTGTATCTTTTTGTATATTTGAATTAATTTTGTATTTTAAAAATATTTATAAAAAAAGAGTTCCAAAGGGTGTTATGTTCTTTATATTAGGTTCAATGTTATTTATTGTCAAATCCATGTTTCAACTAAAACATTGTGAAATCAGTAACACTGCTTGTGGAGCTTCTAAAAGCACACTCTATACATCCTTTGTCACCACAAATCTCTAAATGTAACAGAAAGTATATTTTTTTAAATTCATTAGAGTTCTAGGAGACAAAAAAGACAGTATCAATGGTCCAGCGATTCAGAGGACTTCCTAGATTACATAAAGCAGGCACGATTAGGTTGCCAATAGAGCCACAAACCAAAAGTGAATGGGGTGGGACCAGAGTGAAAGTTGGGGCAGCTTCAGGCTCAGAGGCAATGGCTACAAGGAGCAGGCACTTTCACCATGAAGAGTGACTAAAGAATGGCATTAATTCTTTCATTCATTCAAATATATAGATTACTGTGTGCAAGACACAGTGCTAGGCCTTGGAGATTTGCCTCCACAAAGGCGAATAATAAACTTGAAATAAATAATCAATAACTAAGATTATTTTAGATGGTGATAAGTGACACGAAGAAAATTATACAAGATAATGAGAATCAGCCAATAGACACGTCCACCCCAGCCCTGACGCCTGCTGCGAGTATGGGTGCTTGGGCTAAGAAGACAGAATACCACACCATGGGACTGCTCACCAATCGCCAGGAGAAATAGGCCCCCACACATAGACATTCAGAAAGTAAACTATGTTCATCTCCTCTGCATTGCACCATGTCCTGCCCTACCCCACCTCCTACCACATTCAGCAAAACAAGCACTCAATTAGAATCTGTACCACAGATAGGCAAATAAGATTTCCAAACACTAAGATGAGTACACAACCCAGAATCACCAATCATTTGTGGAAATCTATTACTGTAAAAGAGAGGCAGTAATTTCAATCAACAAACAAATTAAATACCCAAAGTTATGTCTAATAGAGCAAAAAGAAGTTTTATAATATATATTTTTATTCTCAGAGGGATAATATAGGACCTTACATTCATAAAATAACCAGGCTATTATGAAAACGAACCAGTTAGAAGACTGATTAAGAATATATTTATTGAATTTTTTAAATGAATAGATTGAACAATAATAGGTAATAATATGCTGTAGACTCTCCTAAGCATTCATGTATTAATATAATTAACATCTATACTCATAAAATAGGCAAATTATTAGCACATTCATTTTACAGATGAGTTAACTGAAAAATAGGTTAATTAATTTACTCAAGGCAATGCAGTAATAAATGGCTCAACCAGGATCTGAACTCAGGTTCTTAATCACCATGCTATACTGGACTCAAGCTGAACTGAAGAGTAAATTAATAAACTAGAAGATTGGGCCAAGTTTTCTTCCAGATTGTAGGAGAAAGGATATAGCAATGGCAAAAATTTAAGTAACATGAAGAATAAATCTAGAAGTTCCAACGTTCGTCTGATAGGAGACCTAGAAAATGGATAGAAAAAATACTCAAAGAAATGCTAGAAAATGTTCCAATATCTCCAAGCTGAAAGCGCCTATTCATTACATAAGTAAAAAATACCATGCTTGAATACATCATGATGGGATTTCAGAGCATCAAGGATCAAAAGGAAATTTTAACCAGATCACCTACTTCTCAGCAACAATGGATGCTAGTAGATAATGAACCAAAGTAATCTAAGGAAATTGTTTTTCATTTAGAATTATTTACCCAACTAAACTAATGTTTAAGAGAAGGTACAAAATAATGACATATTTTCAGATACATAAGGATTCAAATGGTTAGTCATTTCTTAAATTATTATTAGAAAATGTGTTCCACCAAAGAGAAAAATAAATCAAAAAGAAAACATGAGATACAAAAGATAATTGTAAGCAAAGGCAGTTCACTCATTAATCACTCACAGTCATTCTTTTTCTTACTTACTGGCAAAATTCTGGATTTGAGAACTTATTCTCTAGTTATTTAAAGGATATGGGCTCTCCTAGCCCCAGAGGGAAGGTGAATGTTAATCAGTCTAAATTCGTCATAGTAATTCAATTTTCTCTCCTAATGATTGGTTTATACATAGGCATATCATGCAACGCTGACTAAAGA